TTTGTTCAGCCGGGACTCCGAAAGTTCCACCTAAGTGCCTTTCTGCCTCACTTAGTCTACCCACCTGCACATTGAAATCACCTGCAACAACCACCGCGTCCGAACGTTTGGCTTTCGAGAAGAGGCTAGACAGTCTACGGTAGAAGTCGTCCTTCACTTCATCTGAGCTGCAGTCAGTGGGTGCGTAAGCAGAGATTACAAAGAGACAACGGTGAGTCTCACTATTCCTTTTAGTTCTCACTGTGCCGTTCAGCCGCATAGCTCAGAGGCGACTATCAACTTGGATCCAGTCTGGTGGTGAGCTTTCTGCCCTAGTGCTTAATGCTATGCCTACACCTGCAATATCGCGAGAGCTAGCTGTCAAATCTCCAGAAACTCGAAGTGTGAATTTTGCGGATTCACCAGACTGGCCGGGAGATGTTAGGTGAATAAACCGCACTTGGGTCCTGTATGTGTGTCTCATCTCACAAACACAGCACACATCCATGCCCCGAGTTGCTAGGGTCTTGGCCAACGAAGCCTGTTGACCAATTTGATGGAGGGTGCAGACATTGGAGGCTGCAATATGTAATTTGGAGAGTGGTTTAAGGAGACCAATGATGCTGTTCTGTGGACTCAGATCGTTGTCGAAGGCTGATGAGCTAGGAGAAATTGAAGATGATGTAGTATTGTTAATTGGGAGACGTGGAGGAAGATGGGGAGGTAATGAGGGGGAGGTGTACAGCAGTCTGAAGAAACTTGAGTACTGACAGAGTTGTGAGGGTGGTTGGTACTTCCCAGCTGCCCACACCGTAGAAGGCTATTTCTTCTAAAGGTACCTGAAAGAGATTTGTGTGACCGCAGAGCCGGTCGGGCATCTGCTTGAAGCATGTCACTGGTAGCCTTTGTGTATGATTATTTTGATTTTTTGTTGTTTTGGGGCCGGATGGTCGAAAAGAAACGACAAATGAACCAACACCGCCGGCCTGGCAACCGTGAGGCATGGTGGAGTGTGTTATTTTTGGGGGTCGACCTTTTCTAAACCCCCGTTTCGTTGAGAAGGCAGCATCAGCATGGCACTGCTGGTCATCCGAGGGAAACATGTTACTGCTGTCACGCCCCATCCAGCTAACAGCAGCACGACTTCGCCCTCAGATCCCCACCATAGTGTAGTGATTTACACTACAACGGTAACTGCTTTTCGCCTAACCACTATCCAATAGACCTTTCTGGTATGGTAAGACCTCGAGGGAACAAGTGTTCCACCAGCATAGCTCGTTGGGTCATTGTGGTATGCAAGCCCAACCACCACATCAAGGTAGCAGCTATCGGTCGGGACTCCGTTTCCAAGCATGTGAATAAGTTCATACTCAGAAAAGGGAAGAGGAGATGAAAATGCACAAGTTGGATAAAAAGTAGATAATCTTTGGTGCTATAAAAAGGTCTTTGACATCACCTTCACATAACTGGCTGAACGACTCTGATGAACTCCAAAAACGATCGACAAGTACAGAGCGTGTGGCAGAGTGGGATATGGTGCAGATGCAACGACTCAAGACACAGCGGGTGATCGTCACAGTCGGACTTGTAACACAGTGGTCTATTTGGAAAATTGTGGTAGTCATCAGGTAAAAAATGTGCATTCCGCGGGGAATTTATTGTGAAACTTGATTTAGGAGGGTAAAGCTGTGATTATACTCAATATACAGGCACACACCATTTTTCCAGGTATGAATAAACTTTTTTGTCCTCACCTGCTCGATGTATTTTTTCGGATGATGAACAGTGATGAATTTTCACCTAATATTTCACCAGAAATCGGGATCTTGCCATCGAAATCAGCGTAACCGGCCCATCTCGGCCAAATAAAGTTGAAACAGTGGGCGTGCCTAGTGGGCACCAATTTGTGGTAGGGTCACCTGAATTTGCTCCATTATCCAATTTGTGTATCATAGATAAATTCTTTCAGTGGTTTGAGGCGCGAGTCAGCTTCCCAGTGTAAAGTGGCTGGACAGTTTCAAGGACGGTTTTTCGGACTGAATTTCTGTCAGCTTCGTTGATAATGCTTCATGGTGCTGCTGAGGCTGTTACTTGTTCAAGGCCGAAAGACGTGGTTTTATTAAGCCTGTTGAAAACGATGAGATCGGATGATACTGGACAGTAAAATTTTTCCCAACTAATGGGTTATGGTATGGGAACTGCCATTGAACGCCCAGAACACTATCACACGAAAATCGGTACTGATTACTGGATTACCTTACTTGCAGCACTGCAAGGAACAGAAGACAATACTGAGAAGATAACGTTCATTGCTTCGAGGAAGGTCGGGAACTAGCAGAGACCACCAAGCCTAATGTAGAAAAATTGTCCTCCCAGACACTGGCTAGTAACAGATCATTTGGGTGTCCGTAACACTATATGTGAGCAAAGTTAACGCATCAGTAAAATGCCAGTTTAGTCCTTTCAGTTGGGGTTGAAGATGAATACTTAGGGTACATTTCAAACGAGAACACCAATTAATTCGGTCCCCTTCACACCGTCGTGGCAATTCGTTTGGGCGAACATACACTTAGCGGGACTAAAGGGATGGGTCTTGAGTGGAACTGACAGGTGAAGAGATTAATCACTAATTATTCGCATTTGTTATATACCCACGGGTGTGAGACCGAAGAAGAATGTGACAGAGTGACCAAGTTGAATAGTATGTTTGATCGATCGTTCAGGAATATCGATGCACTACAGTTAACTGACTGGAAGGTAGCATACGAAAAATGCAATGTAACGCTATGCACCAGATTGCTCAGCTGCTTGGCTGTTCGCCTTCGGCCTAGCTAGTCCGTTAAAACTGTGGAGGTCAAAACTAATAATGGTCCTTGTCGAAAACTAGGCCTCTGGTTTTGGCGAATTATTCGCCGCAGGGGAACTTTATATTAAAGTCAATCCACACCATGCTTTCTGAACGTTGGCTATGTGATAGCTGTTTTCTAAACCCTTTCAGAAAGCATAGTTTTTACGTGAACTGTGGTGGCAAGTGGTGGTGTGGTTGCATATTATGATTAGTCCGAATCACGGTGGGGGTTGGACGGCTTGAAATTCTAAAAATCATCGGTCATTATGTGAGATAGTAAGCAGTACAAATACACTAAGTCCCTTTGGATTGAGACCGGGAACCGTTTACCGAGATTTTCTTCGAAGGTTGTAATAAAGTCACGCGGGACAAACTGGATAGGCTTTCCTCAATTTTCACGCTTTATGTTGATTTTGTAGGCGATAGTATTCACTGAACGGGCTATTATGGGGTCAAAAAACTGACATTTGAGCATACATGAGATGGATAAATGTCATATTTTCCTGGATGAATAACTGGGCCAGCTAATTCTAAAAAACCTTTCATTTCAGCAACTCAGTTTGATAACAGTCAAACTAAGTTGAGCAACCATATGTGCGCTGTCCTGCTAAGCCACTTCGTAGGCGATCACAGCAATAAAAACTTAAGTATGTAATCAAATGCTGAAAACTGTTAGTAAACCAGCCCAGAGTTTTAGGAAATTACTGTTAATGCAAACAAACTGAAAGCAGTAAGAAATTCTGCTTTGATAATGATACAAATTCGAAGTAACTTCAAGCTTAGAGGTAGATACTCTTAGGAGATTTGAAAGTATGGCATACTACAAATTGCCAATAGCACTTTGTGGATTAATCGACGGTGCCACGTGAAAATATTTGCCGTTCTGGGAGTTTTCAGGATTGCCTATCAGGGTGAAACAAGTGAACATAGTTTATAAAGGCATAAAACAGGAGATAACTTTTTCTGACACAGAAACCTTATTCGCTTTGAGGTCTGCAGAAATTGTACCCACAGACAAATATAATTCGCACCGCCAAGAGGACACACCACCCAAATAATAAATCCTACTCATTTACGCTGGGAAATTCCATCATCCTCAGCATGCCTTTCTCACAACACGATACACAGAAATGTAGAGACATTCAGCGCTCTATCATTTACACACTATCTCGACATAAAACTGGAAATCCCAGAATACTCTGAAGCTTAGATAATTCTGCTGTGAAGACCAGTATATGCCCACTATTTTCTCATGAAATGATGCAACAAGAGTACAGAAAACCAGAAGTTATATCAGTTTAGTGAATGGGTCGCACAGGCGTGGGAAATTGGTGCATGAACAGTTCGAGGTAGTCTCCGGAGCTCGAATTGCTGGTGAAAAATGAAAAGAAAATCGGGGGAAATGAAGTGGAAAGGGGAACTTGCATTATAAAGGGAATAGATGGGGAATTTTCTCTGATTGTCCACTTCTACCCTAGGAGTAGTCAAAACCTGAGATGCTGTTCGTGCAAGAGTTATCTTGGTCACAACATATGGGTCCCTAAAGAATCCGTTTGATACTTACTTAACATGTGGACGGAATCCGCTCACAGCCAACTGAGTTTCACTATCTTAACCAACACTTTTTGCCATCTCTTGCCTTGTACACACGTTGACAATCACAGGAACTAGTGGTTCAGGGATTCCAGACAAGAAAGCCACTTAGGCAGAGGCCCCTTCTACTCTGTCAATATCCACATGAACGGTTCTGATGAATTTGCTTCGAGGCACTTAATTTTTTCAATTGGTCAACATATATATTTCACAGTATCTACCGTATCTTCCATGGAAGCTAAATTTCACTTTGTAATCCCTAATACTTCAGATTTTTCGAGTTTCAACTTTCCAGGAAACTCTCCTTGAATGATCAATTAGGAAAACTTATTGTCACCCCTAGACCATCCGTTCGAATCACATTTGCGACGCAGGTTTTCATTTCACCATCAGTCACCACATCTTATCAGAAAGCTGAAATTGTTGACAACAAGCAGCATATAAAAACTCCGAAACTCAAAATTGACCTGTTAAAACACCTAGTTGCGTAAAATAATCTTTCAGCTGTTATGCGACCCAATGTTGACATTACCAACTGAATTGACGAGAATTGAATCAACTTTGATTAGGCGCGAATCTTGGGTTTTGAGTAAGTTTTTGGGATTCAAGACGGCATGTCTTCGGAAGTGTCAATTATATAGCACGATGTTAAAAAATACTCCACTTAGCGTCACATTTGTCTTCCTAATCTAGGGTTTTTCAATTTACTTACTCCCTGTAACTCTTTATGTCCACGCTTAGTGTAGTAGTATTAATGAGATTGTTCCTTGGATCCTATGCATTATGTATGTCTTCTGTCCATCCTTAGCCCTCATCAGAGACCTTTCGTCTTCTGTTCCACTGCTAAATGTTCATTCATAATGCCCAGGCAACTGTATCCGACGTCGTTAAAATGAGGATAATGTGTGTACACGTCTCGGCGACTGACGTCGGTTCTGAGCCATGCCATCACCTAGAGTCTCCAACCACTGGTTCCTCTTGTCCCACCGAACCGAACCACCTAGTCTGCAACGTCCAACATGGCTTAAAACAACAGTCAGAGAAAGAAACCATACTAGTCGTAATCATGGGAATCCGTTTGTCGTAGATGCCCACTGTGCTCTCGAAGACCAAAACTCTATATGTTAGATATACGTTATTTTGAACTCAAGTATCTGTAAATTGTTCATCACTCCGTACGCCTTTGGTATTTTCCAGTAAATGAGTGTAACACCAAATTTCTAGGCATTACTGTCAAACACGAGCTCCTGATGCCTTTTTTCTTCACACTGAAATACAGTTTTACTATGCGTCGAAATACAATCTCCCAGTTCTTAATTACCATTAGCGCCTAACGTAATTAATAAGAATTTCTTACCTACGACAATGTTCAGGAACTCAGTGTCAATTTGTTTTGAGCCTCTGCAATGGCAGTTAAATGGTGTTGAAAGTAGTACACTGCCAGTCCTATTGGTCATGGTCCAAGAAACTATTGTTTGTGTTAGATGTGTTGGGTACACCGTGATTTGTTTCATACAGCCTTTCAAAATCTTTTTACAGTCGGTGTATCCCCTGGTTGAGTTTTATGGGTTGATCTCTACTGTCAATACTGGACAGTCCATTTTGCCGCAGTAACATCCTTTTTTTTAAAGCTTACCGTATAGCCTGTGAAGGTTTTGCTAGCAATAATCTGAAGATTCTGTGTGCACATTGGAAAGATCTTGGTTCATCAAGGCTCCTGATTGAGGTGGTTTGAAACTTCCCTCAAAATCGAAACCAGTAGGGGTCTTGAATCTATTTTGTCAAATTTGTGTTGGTTAAAATCAAGAGCCCCACCGAATCCTATGACAGATTGCTGCTGCAAAGGCAGTTGAAATTATACGACAAGAAGATGACAGTATTCTAACAGCTTTTGCGTTAACACAATTGTATGCACCCGGGAAAAGCGCTGACTGAACAGCAATTAGTTGAGCATTAATTCATTTTTTAGAGGTCAAATCGACTGGTTCAGTTATTTACACCGAACGACCTATCGCGGGCGACTGTAGCTGAACTAGTTATGGAGTGGGGAAAATCCCAAATGATTAGGTTAAATCGCTGTAGATGTGTTCTGTATGAATACAGGACCAAGAATTTACATTTACCTTGTAAATACGTTGTTATGCCTTGCTCCGTATATTTTTATGGCTTACGTTACTGTTCCGTCGTAAATCTAGTCAGCCTTTCGTGCTATGTAATCCTCTCTCATCTAGACCATTCAAAAAGCAATTTTTGTTGTCATAACTTGTGAAATTTCGTTTTTTTATCGCCAGTTGTAGTATGTATGTGATTGTACAACGTGAAACAGCTGAAAAATAGACCCATGCATTGTATTCATTTGACGAACCGAGCGTTCATACTACAATTTTTATGGTAGAGTAGACCTGAAGTTTAAGTGACTGTCGGAACAAAAAATTGAGCTAAAGAATCCAAGGTGGTAGCTTAAAGGTCATATCCTATTCATTGATAATTTTTGATTATTATCACCTTTAGTATTTCCCTTAGAATATTTTGCAAAGATTGTCATCTCTATTCAGTCACTAGCCGTGGATCGCTTTCTACATACTTTTCTCTTATTTCAGTTTTTTATAAACTGCTGTGAAGCTGTTCGCTAGATACCTTTCTGAAAGTGGTTGATTGAACTCATGGTTGAAGTCGGGCAAGATTTGTATCTTACAAGTAAATTACTAACTGACTAGTTTCCTACATTTAATGCATTTTAATGTATTTATTGGAATTTTTATTGTTACGAATAGGATCTCAAAACGTGTTCATCAGGTATCTACACTAATTAAGGCTTTCCTACGCTTCCCAAAATATTTTCTGAGCATACCATATGTGTACATGTCTACAGTGCTCTGTATTTGACCGAGGTAGAAGGCTGGTGTGTGCTTTAAATGGTGGTGTAAGTACTAACAAATGAGTGCTGCACTTGTCATTACTGCTCTTTATGACTACCTAAATCATATTAGGCATGTACGCAATTAGTGTTCAATATTTGCAATAAATATTTTTCCTCCCTTCTGACGTGGGATTCATCAGAAGGCTTGAATACATACAGCTTTTTTATATACGCTACTAGGTTCACTGGATTGTTTCACCATAACCGGAAACTAGAATCTTAGGCACTATGTTCGTCAGGCTGATTCCTCTGTGGTTATCACAAGAGGACTTCTCGCCTTTCTTGAAGACTGGGATGATGAGTGACTTAGACCAGTCATAGGGGATCGTATTCGATTCCCATATACTGGTTAACACTTCCGTTAACCTGACTATAAGCACCTAGACACCGTTCTTGTATACCTCAGCAGGTAGTCCGTTTGGTCCTGCTGCCCTCCCTCGTTTCAGGTTACCTACCGCTTTCTCAACTTGTCCTAGTGTTGGTAGGCCTATCTTTATGTCCGATTCAGGATCCGACTGGATAGCGGGGAACGCAATGGTGTCCGGAGGCTAGTCAAGCTGCTCCTTGAAGTGTTCTGCCCATCGTTCCAGTCGTCTCCCCTGCGAGTGAATCGCAGATCCGTCCTTCTCCGCTATGGTCTCACTAACCGCAGTCGACCTCTCCCCCCCAATTTCCTTAGTAAGTCTAAATAACTGCCGACTGTTACCAATCGCCACTGCCTTTTCGATCTGTTTAGCCTTTGCTGCCCACCACTGTTCGCGGTCGTTGCGTAGACTTCTTCTCAATCTACTTTTAAGTTGTGCCAGCTGTTCATTGTACTCGGGGCCTGCAGTCAGGGATGCGTTCACGTGCATCCATTAGTTCGGAAGAGGCTACTGATATCCACTGGCTCTTTTTGCCTCTCTTTCGGAGTCGGCTACGGTCTTCAGCGCTGCTTTTACGGCAGACTGGAGATGGCAGCAAGCTTTTCCTGGATGAGTGATAGTCTTCTGTTCCGACAACTGCCTAGCCAACTTCTCACTGAACACGGCTTTGGTGTTTTCGTTGTCCAGCAGTACTCGTGGTGGTTTTGTTGCCAACTTTTTCCTACGTCCATTCAGACGCAGATATAAACGCACTCGGACCAACGCGTGGTCGCTATTCGAGCATGTACTCCAGGAGGAGCGGCAGTCTTCCACAGATCCTGTCCAGCGATGACTAATAGCAATGTGGTCTATCTGTGTCCATCGCTGAGATGAGCTCGGTGGAAGCCACGTCAGACAGTGTCTTTTCTTATGTCTGAAATTTGTGCTGGCCAAAAATAGGCGATTATTGTAGCACATTTGTGGTAGGTGATCACCGTTATCTGTTTGTTCAGCCGGGACTCCGAAAGTTCCACCTAAGTGCCTTTCTGCCTCACTTAGTCTACCCACCTGCACATTGAAATCACCTGCAACAACCACCGCGTCCGAACGTTTGGCTTTCGAGAAGAGGCTAGACAGTCTACGGTAGAAGTCGTCCTTCACTTCATCTGAGCTGCAGTCAGTGGGTGCGTAAGCAGAGATTACAAAGAGACAACGGTGAGTCTCACTATTCCTTTTAGTTCTCACTGTGCCGTTCAGCCGCATAGCTCAGAGGCGACTATCAACTTGGATCCAGTCTGGTGGTGAGCTTTCTGCCCTAGTGCTTAATGCTATGCCTACACCTGCAATATCGCGAGAGCTAGCTGTCAAATCTCCAGAAACTCGAAGTGTGAATTTTGCGGATTCACCAGACTGGCCGGGAGATGTTAGGTGAATAAACCGCACTTGGGTCCTGTATGTGTGTCTCATCTCACAAACACAGCACACATCCATGCCCCGAGTTGCTAGGGTCTTGGCCAACGAAGCCTGTTGACCAATTTGATGGAGGGTGCAGACATTGGAGGCTGCAATATGTAATTTGGAGAGTGGTTTAAGGAGACCAATGATGCTGTTCTGTGGACTCAGATCGTTGTCGAAGGCTGATGAGCTAGGAGAAATTGAAGATGATGTAGTATTGTTAATTGGGAGACGTGGAGGAAGATGGGGAGGTAATGAGGGGGAGGTGTACAGCAGTCTGAAGAAACTTGAGTACTGACAGAGTTGTGAGGGTGGTTGGTACTTCCCAGCTGCCCACACCGTAGAAGGCTATTTCTTCTAAAGGTACCTGAAAGAGATTTGTGTGACCGCAGAGCCGGTCGGGCATCTGCTTGAAGCATGTCACTGGTAGCCTTTGTGTATGATTATTTTGATTTTTTGTTGTTTTGGGGCCGGATGGTCGAAAAGAAACGACAAATGAACCAACACCGCCGGCCTGGCAACCGTGAGGCATGGTGGAGTGTGTTATTTTTGGGGGTCGACCTTTTCTAAACCCCCGTTTCGTTGAGAAGGCAGCATCAGCATGGCACTGCTGGTCATCCGAGGGAAACATGTTACTGCTGTCACGCCCCATCCAGCTAACAGCAGCACGACTTCGCCCTCAGATCCCCACCATAGTGTAGTGATTTACACTACAACGGTAACTGCTTTTCGCCTAACCACTATCCAATAGACCTTTCTGGTATGGTAAGACCTCGAGGGAACAAGTGTTCCACCAGCATAGCTCGTTGGGTCATTGTGGTATGCAAGCCCAACCACCACATCAAGGTAGTAGCTATCGGTCGAGGTATGTATGTATATGTAGTTTCGTGAACCATATTCTAAAAATCTTGCATTTTTGAAAATACTAATTTTCACTTCTATGGAGCAATATTTGTATTGATACTAAGTTGAATTATTGTGTGTTACGTCAGCTGGTGAGTGATCCTTCATTAGCGTTCTAGATTAATTTTGAACGCTCAACGTCCAAACAATAAATTCCAGGTAGTATCAAAATTCTTGTCAGGTGACGTTTCTTTGGCTTGAATGTTTAACTGATGGTTACGTTTTATTTAGCAGCGTTCGGTGCGTATTTTATTGATGCTCCTTGACTATCGCAACCGATAGGTCCTACCTTGATGTGGTCGTTGAGCTTAAATATCGGAATGACCCAAGCTGTGCCGGTGGGAACGGTTATTTCTTGGGGTTCAATCAGAAAGGTCTGTTAGACAATGGTAAGACAAAAAGCACCTGGCGTCATAGCGTAGATATGTTATGATGGGGTCCTACGGTGAAGTCGTTGGGTGTACAAGGGTGACAACAATAAAATTATTCCTTACAAATGACTAACATTCCACGCTGAGACTGCCTTTTCTTGTAGGAAGAGGATGTTAAGAAATATTGATATCAAGTTAGCACACTTATTGTCTTCACGAAATTTCGTGCCCTCAGTGTCCACTGGTAACCGAATGAAACCACTCCAAAACTCTTCCGAAATCCCATGTGACCACCCGCAAACATATACACTAGGCATTGTGGTCTTGCAAAAGTAATCCCGTTTCTCTTTCGTGAGGAATGGACTTTTCCTGGTGTCGGCACTCAAGTTCTTTACAGTCACTACAGACCTTCCTCATCTTTGAATTTTAGTGGGTCCACTCTTTCTATTCACATTTAGCTTCTCCTCTCTTCTTCATTTGATTTTAGTCATATGGATGAAGATGCGAACAAGAAGCGGAGTCTTCTGGATTCATTGAGTGGCAATTTAAGAATGTTCAGGATACGTTTCTTACTACCCCAAAGCAAATTTCGCTCCCTATCTGGTCTGAGTTGGTGTCTTGTTTAATGATGTGGACTAGAATGATTCGACGTGTTGACCACTTCAGTTACGTGGGAAGTCGGATCAGTTGTGATGCATCAGTGACCGATGGAATCTCTGCCCTGGTACTGAAGACTCACCGGGCTTTCGCCAACTAACGCCATTTATGGTGCCGCCGTGATATTCGATTGTGTATTTAAGGTCGAGTTTACTGCTCTGCAGTTTACTCTGTTCTACTATGTTGCTGTGAAACATGGTCCTTAAGAGTGGAGGATATGAGGTGACTTCGAGTGTTCGTCTAGCCTTGTCGTCGTAGCATAGGTCGTGTGTCATAGTTCCACGACGTCAGTAGAACGGAAGTCAGATGCAGGAATTCAGGCAGTAGGGAAACGTCAGTTGATGAAGTTGTAAACCTTGGTCAGCCGTGATATGTTGCACGTGCCTAGTCACTATGTGATCTGTCGTACAATGTTAGGTGAAGTAGGTTCAGTCTGGATAAAAGTTAGCGTTGGCCAGACTAAAACCGGTGTAATCTGACTGTTGGTCCGAACCGTGCATGCAAGTGTAGACTTCCCAGTTGGGGTCTGCGTGACATCTGGAGTGTGTAGTTGGAGATGGTAGGTGATATGGCATAGAATCGATCTCATTGATGCAGATGTACCCACAAATTGCCTTCATCTTAGTTTTCATACCGAATGTCAGTATTTTCTCATTTCTGTATCTTTCATGTGTATCTTCTGCCTTGATTTGCTGATATTAGGTGCGATTCGGACGGTTGCATAGTAATGCATGTTGCATTTTGTTGCTGATCGAATGGATTGACTATGGATGTAGTGAGATTTGTATACATTAGGTGTATTCTGGCTCACTACATGCCCCAAAGAGCAATTACTTTGTTTGTTTGCTTCATTACTGCTTTGTGAAAAGCTTTTTGAAGTCTTTACCGCTGACATAACTGATCTGAGAAATAGGTGGGATTCAGAATTCCGAAATATTGGTTTCCTCCGAGAAGCTTCAAATTGTCGTTACATTTATTATGAACCAACAGGACTGCGTGTCCCACAAACCTCTATCACAATAGTAATTGTCTATCACTGACGGCTGTCACCTTACCAATTCTCAAGTGGTTTCTTTGCCTACTGTGATTTTTAGGGAATCCTTGTTCGCGAGCATTAGTCGGGGAAACCGAGACTGGTTTTATGGCCAATACTGAAACAGTGCTTGAGTAACATTAAACTATGCAACATTGAAGTGTTCTGCAGCGTAGCATGTTTTCATATACCACTCATCTTGTTTTTGTGACCGAATTAATTAGTCATTTTTCTGTCTGTAGTCTGTTGGATATTTCCTCTTCCCCCTCTCCCCAATTTTTAGTCAAGCCATCTACACCAACAAGTGGAAAACGAAAGTCTTCCAGTCGATTAAGTCTGTTTCACTCAACTGCAAGAAAATCGCGAGCGTCAGCATCCGACTTGGATTTGCCCACTCCTAGTGTCGCTGTTGGTCCCTTAATTGATGCATCTCCGTCAGGTATTTGTTTTGTTTCTATTTCATTTTATTTAAACCACAGATGTTACAAATAACTTCGTAATGAGTAATTGCTGTAACGTCGTATATATTATTGTTTGCCTTTAGTTACCGCTCACTTTATTACTGTATTAGCCAGTGATTGAGTGTAGCTCTAAATTAGATTAGTCTTTTCGACACAGGACACAGTGGCACAGTATTATCATTATTGTACTGTATTATTATAATTGTATTATATCACTGTGTGCTATGTCAAATGGACTAAACAAACATGAAGTCACTAGCTTTATTCCATAAGACAGAACAATATATCAAAATACAGGGTCTTTTAAACACCTTAGGCAGAAATTTGAGCATATTCGGCATAGGTTTGGCACCTTTCAAATGTTAGATGATGTTTCAGGACTGACTCGAAAATACCCATAGATTACGGATAGGAAGTAAAATGGTAGAATGTGTTGACCATTCAACTTGGGAAGTTGCATCAGCCCGAACGGGTTGGTCGCTGACGAACTCTCAGCTCAGATATGAGAAGCCCATTCGCCACTGGTCAACTTTTGTCGTCTTTGACGCCGGCGAGATATCTAACTACACATTAAACGACAAGTATTCTGAGCTGCAGTCCGTTCTGTCTGATTGCACAGCTGAGACCTGACCGATGAAAGTAAAGGATATGAAAAAATAAAAGGCCTCGAACACAAGTATCTTATTAGTATTGCTCGCGCTTGTTAAAACCACCATGTGAGCAATATCAAGGAAAGTAAGTCAGTAAATGAGGTTTTGAACCTTCGGTGTTTAAGGTGGCTTGCTCATGTGTTAGGCATGCCGAAGCACTACCTACCTTGACGTCCAGCGCTAGCGAAAGTTGAATTCGGTTGGAAGAAAAGGTCCAAGGTTACCAAACCTAGACGTGTTATCAGTTTATGAAGTTTCTGACTGTTAGTCTGAGCCATCTAGGGAGGTATAGACTGCCTGACTGGGGATTCTTGTAACAATAGGATTCAGATAGTCAAAATCTATGATTGGGAACTGTAATTTAATTTAAAATAAATTCCAGTGTTGCAGATGCATCCGTACCATATGTTCATTCATTTGTTTGCAAACCTTACTATTGCTAAGTAGGTTCATCTCTTCACCGCTTTGTTAATTTTTACAACCGCTCATTTCATTATTTTGATCCTTTCACCTTCCCTATTGTTGAGCCGATATACCCAAAGGTCTCATGTTCCGTTGTTATTGCTTACGCTCATGGAACTTTCCCTTTTTGGGGGAAAATGTAATATTTCTGCATATATTAGAAGGAAAGTACTGACCAGTAATAGCATATCCTGTATAAACACTTATCCAGTCCGCGAAACGTAGTTCAGCGGCACGTATTTTGACTGGTTACAGTTACTACCATTAGTCTGGTCAGAGGACGAATCTGATAAGGTCTTCACGAAGTACATAAATAATGATGTCAGTATGTAAGTTAATAATTTAAAATCAGTTCCCTACAAACCGCCTAACCATGTAACACTTTCATACTGACTAGTAGTTTGCTTTGAAAATTTGATGCTAAACTGTGGCAAACAGCGTCAACCAAGTTAGGTGTGGTGACGGATTTATCCATGTTACTGCATGATTATCGAACGATACAGCGAATTAACGAAAGGTAGAAAATGTGTGTCACTAGATTCTCACCTGATAGTGTACTTACCACGAGATTTAGTGCTCCGGAGTTCGATTTCATGTAGGATTGTGGATGAGAGCTACCGAAGAGTCCCACATCAGGACGGAAAAGATGTCCAATGCTCTTTGGTTTTTAATTGTTCTTGGGTTGATGCCGATCTTCGGAACAAAACGATCTTACAAACAGTATGCAGATTTTTTTCTCTAAAATATCTACCTTTGAAAGCATCTGTTTTGATATGAAACTGGTTCAACTTCTCTTAGCTTTCGCTTTTCATCATTAGTAGTAATCAGACGTTGGTTTCTGTCATCAAAACCGTATATTTAATACTCCATTCATTTAGATGATGTCGATTATAATGGTGAGTTATGAGTTTATATGTTCTAAATGCTGTGATGATACTACGTCCTTTTTAATTTTCTTCCACTTTATTCAGATTTACAAGATGCATCACTACGCGCTAAGCTTGAGAAAAGACAGCATCGTATTTTCGAATTTTTTGTTACGGAGCGGAACTACGTGGAAATTTTACGTTATTTATGTTTAACTGCTTATCCGGTTAGTGTTTATGATGTTACGTATCATTTCTGTATTTAGTTTCGGTGTTTTGCAAGTTTGTTTAGATATTCAGTTTTTGCTGATTTTAACCAATTTCTTCCTTGTTGGTTTTAGCAAGTCACCGATGAAACTCAACCAGGTGGACCTCTTTTACCTCGACAAGAAGCTGACTTTGTATTTGGTAAACTTATGGCTATTTATGAAATACACGAACGTTTGCAACCTCAATTCAGTGAACTGGAGAGTAATTGGTCACTTTCTGAAAGTTGTCTGGGGGATGTACTCCATCTTCGTTTGCTGGGTGAAATGAATAAAGTAATTTTACTTGTTTATTTTTCAGTGGTTCATCGTTTTACAAATGACTTAACTGAAGCAATTTACAGTTCACTGACATCCCTATCTATTGTTCGAAAATCTTTTTGTTCATTAATAGTGACTTTATGGAGCAAGTTATCAGCGTAAACAGACATTTAGTTTAGAGGTTTTTGGGGATTTGTTGATTTTGAGTTTGTATACAAGTCGGGTTTGAAAACAAATGCTCTCCGGTGGCATTTGATGATGGTCGTGCTATACCGCGAACTAATGGAAGTAGGAAAATGTAGAACAGTGGACTGTGATTCAGTAACTGAATGGTGTTACGCTCGCCGCGAGACCTGAAGGTTGTGGGTTCGATTCCTGACGTGGTCTTTGGTGCACACTGCTGAGGATTCCGTTACTAAGAAGAAACTGCTTTTCAGATTTCCAATGGTTCTCCAGCTGATATCAATTTATGACGAGTCCTATCTTGAAGGCAACAAAGAGTTTTTGTTTCTGTACCTGGGGACTAAACCAAGTGAGCGAATACTTACTCAACCGTACCACAATATAACGACTGACTGGAATGTGTACACAATTAGTTCAGATCTAGGTGCTACACTTTAAAATAACACTTCGTTAGGACATATAACGAACAAGTTAAGTGAGAGAAACATTTACCGACAATAAGCTGATGAATGGATGAAACAGTAAAAATAGGAAGTTAGCAATTCAGTGTCGTTAAAGTCAAAATGGCACAGTTACATATACCGTTTTTAGCGATGGATTTCTATCTTATACTCCAGCTAGCAACCTCGAGGTTTCCCACATGGGATGGATAAAAATCTATTGACTAGATGCACGAATCAAAACTGGAAGTAAGATCACTTGAACTTTCTAAAAATAAACCTTCGTCTCGGTGTGTTTTCGTGATGCTAGCTAGTCAAGATAGTGTTCTCAAAGCTACTGCTCGTGTCATTAAAATTCAGTGTTTAGCGTAGCTACATACCAATCGTATATCATTCCTCTCTCTCTCTCCCTCTCTCCCTCTCTGTATTCAGCAATAACTGAGTCATATAGCTGTAATAAATTTTGTTATTGTCTCTACTGAACTGCAGAGAACTCACATAATCCGTCTGCAATAAGTGTTCTTTTTTTACTCAATTGTTTCTCACCTTCTGTTTTCAGGCTTATGGAAATTATATGCAGTTTTATAGTCCACCACACTTACATCACCTTGGTGAACAGTTTCCTCGTTTTCACTCCTTCATGCGTCAAGTTGAAAAACGTAAAGAATCTGGTCGTCAGAGTTTAGCAGCCTTATTAGTTCGTCCAGTTCAACGGCTTCCTTCGATTTCACTTTTAATAGATGGTTTGTTTTCAACTTGGTTTGCCAAGTTACACTTCTGCTTTTGTGTGAATTATATTTAATTTTGAAAAGCTTATTGCATACATTAGATCTAATCCAGTGTTCCAAGGCTCCGATATACTTGATAAAGATTATTTGAGAAATATCTCATCTAGCGGACTATGTGTGTGTTGTGCTAAGTATCATAATTCAAAAAGAACCGTAACAGAATTTGTACTTGCCTAAATTTGCTTTTAATGTTGGTTACTATTCTCTATTTTAGGCTCCAGAAACTGAATTTTGAATTGGTTTAGACGGTTCATCTCCAGCTACTGCATAGTTCATAAAGCTAGACGACAGGGTTTATCTAAAACTGATATACTTTTACGATGAGGTTTTCCTTGTAGTTACGAAGCATAAGCTGGGAATTAGTATAAAGTGAAAATTGCAAGACCTGACTGGTAGCTGCTACCTTGACATAGTGGTCGGGCTTGCATGTAACAATGCTAGTGGAACGCTTATTCCCTTGAGGTCCTACCATGCGAGAAAGGTATACTAAGCTATCATAAGGGTCCAAGAGCAAAGTTTCACTGCCATCTGAATGGGACTGTGACAGCAGTAAAGTGTTTTCCTCGGATAACCAGCAGTTCAATGCTGATGCTGGTTTCCCCGTGGAAGGTGCGAGGCTACAAAAGGTCAACCCTGATAGTAGCGAATTCCTCTCCAGCTTACGACATAGTGGTGTCAGCAATGTGAATCTATCGTTGGATTCACAAAAAACAAGCTGAAGTTTCAAACTTCTAAAAAAGCCATGTGTGACTGACCTGGAGCGAATGCCCCTTACACTCTTCAGTCTCACATCGCTATTGCTAACCTTTCTTTTTCAGGAAATATCGAGAGGAAATAACCTTCCATGGTATAAGGAGCCGGAAACTGTCGATAACTCTCACTACTGAGCACTTTAGTTCTTCCATATTATCAACCTTCAACATTTTTGCGTTCTAATATTTTTCACGTCTCTCGGTCATCATTTCTGCATCGTCTTTAATCTTCTTCATCTCTGTGTATCTTGAAAACGACTGGAGTTCACAGTATGAGATCCCTTGTCTGCTGAAACTGCGCTTCAAACCACACATCGAACCTTTCAACATTCGCATCCTCCGTTAAATCGGCTGACAATACCTCCTAGCCAAAACTATCTTTTCGACCAGTGGATGTGCGCTCTGTTTGTGCGACACGCATACGGGACTCAAGTGCGGTTATTCACTTAACCCTCACCCTGTTGATATGGTGAATCTGCAAAATTCATACTTCGAGTTTCTGGAGAGTGAAGTGAGTAGCTAGTTCTTGCAGTTTTGCAAGTGTCGGTACAGCATAAAAAGCAAGGCAGACAATGCACTGCTCGAGTGGATCCCCGTTAACAGTTGCCTGTTTGGTATTTAACTGGACGGTTCATTGAAAACTAGAGATAATGGTGAAAGCCGCCGTTTTCTGTGATCTCTGCTTACGCATCCACTGACTGCAATTCGGGTAAAGTGATAAGTTAGTTCGATCGCTAAAGCATTCCAGCCTGCCACCAAAAGCCAGCCCTTTCGATGTAGTTGGTGTAGTAGACGCTTTCGATGAGGAAATAGGAAGATTGTCAACCATTGACTAACCTGTTATTCACCGACCTCAACTCAAAGGTTGACACAAATAGATCATATTACTCTCAGTTATCACAGAAGGTCAGTGGAAGACTCTTGCTCCTTCTGAAGTACGCGTTGGTTTTAGTAGGCATATGTTTGCGCCTAAGTGGACGTTGAAAACCTACAGTAACATGACTGTTGCGAGTACAGGTGAACAGTCCTTGTACTAAGGCTGATTTTAGTGAGAGAATGGGTAGACAGTTATTAGAACTTAGCGACACCATTCACCCTCAAAAAGCATGATACTATTTCCAGTCTACTGTAAAAAACCCATTTAAGATTGCCACTGATCCTCAGAAAGTTGTTAGAAGTGACCAGTTGATTTCAGCAGCTTCTGAATTAGTGACTTCACCTAACACATTTCTGAAGGCTCCGAGTACAGTGACGAGTGGAAGCAACCTATGTAACTGACGACAAGTTTGCGCAATGACCACGAGCAGTGATGGGTGCCGTAAGCTAAGACATCAGCAACAGAAAAAAATTGAAAGTTATTCAGACTGACCAAGGAAACTGAAACAAAATTGCCAATGGTTATTGGAACTATTGTGGGGAAGGATGGATGCGCGGAACACTTCGAGGAACAGATAAACTGACCCCATGCCACGATCGTGTTATCCGCATCCAGTCATATCCTCTATGGAACATTGGGATACACCTTCTAACTCTTACAGAAGTCGTAAAACCTACAAGTAACTCTAAGCGAAGAAGCGAAGCGTGGCCAGATAGGTCTGCACCGGACGTGTGTAAGGACGTTAATTGGGGATTTTCGACTGGATTAACTGAATTTCCAGCTACCGTATAAGAATCAGACTTGAACGCTGACTGATCTGTTTTCTAGAAAGAAAAGAAATCCTTCTGCAATGACCACAAGAACGTTAGTTTGACTAATATAGTGTCTAAGATTCTAGGTTTTATAGTCATTAAAAAGCCTAAGAGAAACTAGGAAACATCATGTCCGATAAAACCAGACAAGATTCATACCTAGCCGTGTGTATATCGACCCAATTTTCACCCTTCGGCAGGTTTTGAAACTGAGGCACATTTTCTGTCACTTGACATTAGCTTTAGTTCTTGACCTGAAAGCAGCGTTCGACTCCGTTGATCGAGGGGTTCTGTGACAGTACAAAGTGAGAACATTATCCTGTTGAGGACACTGCATTCAAATCCCTTTAGTGTGTCAGAGCCTATGGCGATTTATGTACTTCAGCTGGCATCCATCAAGGATGTCCACTCTTTCTATTCACATTTAGCTTCTCCTCTCTTCTTCATTTGATTTTAGTCATATGGATGAAGATGCGAACAAGAAGCAGAGTCTTCTGGATTCATTGAGTGGCAATTTAAGAATGTTCAGGATACGTTTCTTACTACCCCAAAGCAAATTTCGCTCCCTATCTGGTCTGAGTTGGTGTCTTGTTTAATGATGTGGACTAGAATGATTCGACGTGTTGACCACTTCAGTTACGTGGGAAGTCGGATCAGTTGTGATGCATCAGTGACCGATGGAATCTCTGCCCTGGTACTGAAGACTCACCGGGCTTTCGCCAACTAACGCCATTTATGGTGCCGCCGTGATATTCGATTGTGTATTTAAGGTCGAGTTTACTGCTCTGCAGTTTACTCTGTTCTACTATGTTGCTGTGAAACATGGTCCTTAAGAGTGGAGGATATGAGGTGACTTCGAGTGTTCGTCTAGCCTTGTCGTCGTAGCATAGGTCGTGTGTCATAGTTCCACGACGTCAGTAGAACGGAAGTCAGATGCAGGAATTCAGGCAGTAGGGAAACGTCAGTTGATGAAGTTGTAAACCTTGGTCAGCCGTGATATGTTGCACGTGCCTAGTCACTATGTGATCTGTCGTACAATGTTAGGTGAAGTAGGTTCAGTCTGGATAAAAGTTAGCGTTGGCCAGACTAAAACCGGTGTAATCTGACTGTTGGTCCGAACCGTGCATGCAAGTGTAGACTTCCCAGTTGGGGTCTGCGTGACATCTGGAGTGTATAGTTGGAGATGGTAGGTGATATGGCATAGAATCGATCTCATTGATGCAGATGTACCCACAAATTGCCTTCATCTTAGTTTTCATACCGAATGTCGACATTTTTTCACACCTCCCTGTCACCCTCTATCTGAGTTTTGGCTATCTGCTTCACCCAAATGTGCACATTTCAACCGATTTTGGGACGCATATATACTGACTGAGGCAAGCCATATTATTCGGCCTTGAGTTGGCATTCTGCTTTGTCGACCGAAGGGTGTTGTAGCTGTATAAGGTTGAGGAGACTACTGAGCATGTGTCTTGTGTTAACCGGCACTGTTTATGAAAACTCACTGTTGCGTACGGCTAATGGAGAGATGTCGATTCAAATGACGGCGATCAGTTGTGTACGCCAAGGATGCCCGCTGACACTATTCATGTTTGACTTCTGTGTAGATTTTTAGTGTATATGGTTACCCCTGACTCTACATAGATTAATCTGCCACCTGGTGAGCACCTGCTCTACATAGAGTATGCCGACGACTTTCTCACGTCAGGCAAAGTTACTGACAAAACGCAGTTTTCTTATCATCTCGGGTCGTAAATCCGAATGCTTTTGGCATGTCTTTTGCATCTTGCAGATGTAAGATAATGTTTCTAGACTGATCTGCAGTACTGTGGTGACCTTTTCACTTGTGTGGAGAGTCGCATCGATTCGAATCCATTGGTTACTGAAGGGAAATAAAAGACCTACTCGACATTTGTTAACTTTCCTCACTTCTTGATGCTGGTCGAAGATCGAGTATGCAGCGCCGCAGTTTACTGTGTCCTACTATGAGACTGAGAAATGTCCTCTGAAAGTAGATATCAGGAGATAATAGATTTTTATATCACATGCTTCACAGCATTGCTGACGTGTAGTGTAGTATGAGCTGAGCATTGTCGAGGTTGTGCAGAAGGCACTGGGCAATGAAGGCAAGTCAATGACTGAGATGATTTTCCACTGACTGGAGCGGGTTGAATCTGCATTACACTTGTTGAGCCACCAATTACCTTGATACACAGTGTTTGTTTTTGTGGAATAGGGTCTGGAGAAGGCACAGGGTAACCGGACTGTAAAGTGACACCGATCCTAATTCGGATTTTACAAATATATTTCATTTGTGATCCATTGACCCAATCCTCAACTTATTCAACTGTACCAGGTCAAATTTTGATCCTTAAGTTTACAAGATTGGAATCAATGGTTGAAGTTTCCTGTTGATAGATCCATATGCATGCGCCCATTGTTTTCGTTCTCGTCGTCATATCGCACTTCATTATTGTTTTGCATCCTCTTTTTATTTGTTTTAATCTTGATTTTTCTGTATTCGTCTACTTTATCGCTTCATGTGTTGACATGTTTTATTTAACATCTTGTACTGTTACGTAGTAACTCCATATTCCCTGTTTATATTAATTGACCGACTAATAGACCTTAAAGTATATCACCTAGGTTTTTCTGCATAGTTTTCGTTACTGTATACAGACTTCTCAATGAATTCATGTCGTACCGCACAAAGCACTCTGGTTTTATTCCTGTAGATTTCATTCCACTGGTACACTATTCAGTCTTCTCACATTCTGTAGTAATAAATACTAGTGCAGTCTAGATTTATTGCTGTAATTGGAATATTGGTAACTTTGAAATTTCTGTGTAAGCTAAGCTATGTTACCGTACTAACATGCGTTTCGTAGAGATACTTTAACGAACAGTTTGTTTTTAACTTTAGTAGGACTGTTTCAATTCATTTGAATTTGTTTTCCAATCATTTTTCAGGTATAGCGAAGTTCACACCCCAGTCACATCCAGATTTCAATGCAGTTAAACAGTTTTCCAAGGGAATCAACGATCTTTTAGCTAAAATCAATGACCAGTTAAGAAAAAATGAAGAACGCCTTTCCTTACTATCATTGTATCATGAAATTAGTGGTGCTCCAGTACGTTTTTATGGTTTTTCTAGAATTATTCACTTTAGGTATGATTAATCTGATATAATGTTTCTAACTTACGGATGTTTTTTGGGTTTCAGCCTGAAATGTTGTCATCCTCTCGAAGTTTGGTGGCAAAACTTAATGTTTTTGAATTGGGTGTTAGCGCTTCTGGCAATACCACTTGCGAACCAGTTACACTTTTTCTACTTTCTGATAGTCTGGAAGTAGCTCGTCCTCGAAAGCGATTCACTGGAGAGCCTCTTGCACATGCGATTCGAGCTGCATTGGCTGCAGTGCAGGGTAAGTTCCCTGTTTATACTGTTTGTCAATATCTCCACGCGATATTTATTTATTACTTAGAACATATGTTCGGTACAAAATGAATATCAAGGGATGTGGTATGCAAAGTAATAAAGCAACACTAGGAAGACAGAAGTTTTTTCCTATCCATATTAGTACTTTTTTATTGTAAATATCACACTCAATACAAATAGGCACCAAGAATTAAGCCAAACAAAACAGAACGTGATGTAAAAAAGGAAAGATGACGGGAACGGACAGTTTATTGAAGAAGCAGTCTCAAAGATACATTCAAAGGAGCATTCAAGACTTTTGTTTCACCTTTCAGTAATAGAAGGAACAGGAAAACTGCAGCGATATTACTTCGATTTCACTTCTAAGCGACATCTGCTTTTGTCTCTAGCCATTGAATTGCTTGATCTCTTTAACTTCATCCAGGGAGTCGTGGGGCACCTACAGATACCAATTCAACACAACCGTCCTTCCTCCTATGGCTCCACGTCATACACTGACGACACCCGCTTCTTCCAGCCAGTATTAGAGTTAGCAAACAGTGAGCGGTAAGGGAGTCGTTGGAACAGCATTATTAGTACATATCAAAGCTACCAGAACCGGTTTTTTCAGTATCACCTCACACCCAAACACACCGCTTCACCTAAAAATTACTTCCACTGAATGGAGCAGTCCTATAGAGATAGCGGCGATGAAACACGAAGAGTCGTCGGACATCCGATACTTGCAAAGGCCAGGTTTCACATACATGAAGCACAACTACTGACCTGTTGTCTACCTGACCTTTTACAGAAGAATTAATGTCAGAACGGCACCAGAGATGATGTAGATAGGCATATGTCTCTCTCACCTTCGATATGCGGCTGGAAATCGCATCGGTCGAATTAAATCAAAATGGAAATGCACTCAGATACCTTGTGCCCATTCGTGGAGTAGGCAATGAGCCACACCTTTTGTGTGAAGGCTAATGATACCTGACTGCCCAAACCTCGGTAGATGAAGAAGGGCTCGAACCTTTGACCCATTGTTTAATAGTCACCTCCCTAAACCAATGAGCTCATCACCTACACCTCCATCATTTACACAACTATGTATGTACACAAACGTTTTACCAACGTCCAGCGATTCATCCCCAAGGGTGAGTGCAGGAACAAACTGCTACCAATCTTGTAAAAGTACTTTGTACTTTTATGATACAACCACGTACCATAATTACACGCACTGTGGGCTAACTGGTCAAGTACGATTTAAATACCATGTATATTGTCGCACAGTAAGACAATATCATCTGTATGGGTAGGTAGGTAAATCCTTCAGGTGAACAGTCTTTGTTTACCTCGCTGTTGATTTGGAACAATGAAGAGAAGTGGCTGCATGTCTCCACTTGACGTGAGATGCTTTTGTAGACGGCTATCAATATGTTTGTTAAAACTAATGAAAACAACCCTTTCTACCGAACATTTCCAGAGCACAGTTCTGCCAAAAGAATATCGTTTTGGTCTTCAGTACGTGTTATGGTGTTCAATCATCCAACTGTAAACACGTGATCTATCTGTTCCCAACCTGAACGAAATCCAGCCTACTCTTTGCAGATCAGTTTCCCACGCCGTTTGTTGAGTATGTAAAGCAAGATATTAGTTACTGGTAGCAAATTGGTGTCCTAGTAATTGTTACACACTACTGAAACCCTTTCCAAATATTGTTAAATTGATTCCTTCTCATTCTCTCTTGACGACTTTTAATTATCCATATTATATTTTACTTTTTATCTGGTCACCTACCTTGATGTGTTGAAAGGATGTGTGGCAACTGGAAAGGTTACGCAGTAATACCACATCTAGTGTTAATGGCGACTAACTAAGAGATGGGTACTGTAATGGTTTCGCCCCAAAATGAATGGGAGCATTTTGATAAGATGACTCGAATTATCAGTTAGCCATGGTAGACCATTTGGATTAGTATTTCTTGAGTTAGATTAACGGGTGTATATAATTTGACAGAATCCTCAGCTTTCGAAATTTGTTACCTGTTTTATCTTGTCAACGCATTCCCTGTTTGTTCACAATACAACAATAGAATTGAAAATATCATATCTTCCTAAATGACTTGACTTATGTTTTGTGTAATTTTCTTTGAACATTTCCGAACTGCTATTTTCACGTTTTTTTCTACTTTAACTATAAATTGCTCCACAAAACCATGTTATCGTCCTTTTGTATATTCTAAAATTTAGTGTATTCGGCTGGTTATTTTTCGGGAAAGATGAGATATTTATACCACTAACAGTAATCTGTTGTATGTAGCTATAGAAGCGGCTTTTAGTTGCAGATAGCAACATTCATAAGTCTTATCCCCACTCATATCATCCCTATGTCTCATTCTTTACTTCTAAGTAATTCTGCCATCAGTGGATACTATCTAATCACCATTAACCAATCTCTAATAGAGATTCATCGTAAAAACACCCAACAAAAGGGATTCAATTCCTAGCAAACTGAAATCTTATTTGTGATGTAGTTACTCAGTATGACCGAAACCAACTACTGTTATAGTAGTGGCTGACACTTCTATATCTGGTTTCAAAGCCATTGTATTGCCTGTTTTCCGTAAAAGATTTGATGAGTTCATTTTACTTGTTGCTAAGTACAGAAGTCTTTTTCCGCTAATTAACTGTATTCATTTTTTATTCTTGTTAAGTTTGTTAATTTTTGCATCGAAATACTTCTGTGATTTTTATCGCTTTTCAATTAGTGTTCACCACCCGTACTTGTCGACCTTCTCCCCGTTAACTGATATCTGTTTAAGTATGTTATTTATTAATCAATTTCGTATAGGCTATGGAAAAGTATACCGATGTTAGAGCTGTAATCTAGTTTGAAACTACTACGATTGAGTTAATAAACGATTTCATCTCGTGAACATTTTGTTTACTAACTAAGGATGGAAGGAGGTGGATGGAAAGTGCGCTACTGTCTGCTACCTTGGAATTGGTGCTTTTGCATTATCAAGCGACTGATATCACCTACATCTTGAACGTTATCTCTTGTAAGATAGTGTAACCAGAAAAGACGAAAGAGTGAAGTCGTCCTTCAGAGTCCGACAGTTTGATATCTTTATCAAATTTTTGTCTTTTTCATTCCTCACGAACCACTTATGACCATCTTGCGCTCCAGAAATTTATGAGAAACGGAATTTGACATTGGGTTCGATTCCTTTTGATAACAACTTGATCACATTATCGACGTGTTAAGATCTTTCAAACAAATGTTCTTCTACGATTTGTCAGTGGATATTCGCAGTCTCCAAATCAGCAAAGGTTATTTCAGTTTCCTCACAATCACATTCTTTCCTTTTCTGTACAGTGCTATTGAATCCCTATCACTAATATTTACAGACGTATTGTGAGGAGGGCTTCATGATGTTACTGTTTCAAAGCATTGCATTTTGTGGGTGGTCTATTACCTACTGTCTTACTAGACGGTGTTATTGAAACATTCCCCTTGTTGAAGTACATTGTTATTGGTAAGATTATTGAACTTACTTAATGTTTTCATTTTAAGACTAAACATCATGATCCAACGTGATCGATAGCTGCAACCTTGACATGTTAATCGGACTTGCATATGAACAATGAACAAACCAACTATGCTCTTGGACGCTCGTCCCCTCACCAGAAAGTATAGTGGTTGAACAAAAAGCAGTTACCATCATAGTGTAAATTCTTACACTACGATAGGGGTCTGAGGGCGAAGTCGTATTGCTGACTAGATGGGGTGGGATAGCAGTAAGGTGTTTCCCTTGGATTATCACCAGTGCCATACTGATGCTGCCTTCCCTGCGGAAAGAGAGGTTTCGAAAAATTCAGCCCACAAAATAGCACATTCCCACCCCTCCTGGCATGCTGATGCATACAGGAGGGAATCATGGTCAGACTCGAAAGCAGAAAACCAAGATTTCAAACTTGCGACAGGGCTGCATTTGACCAGCTACAAGCAGATGTCCCTAGGGTTCTGAGATCACACACTATCGCTACCTTTTGAAGTGCCTTAACAAGAAATAGCCTTCCACGGTGTACGTAACCGAGAAATGTCGACCGCCCTCACCCAGTAGTTCACAATACCCAGTCAAACATAACCTCTCCTCCTTTGCCTTCACCTCCCCGTATACCTTCCCATACCTCTCATTCTGGAACCACTGTTAACGATCAAATCCATGGAAACCTGATTCCCATTCTCCCAAGACCCTGGCATCGATTTCATGTAGTGACTTTCAACGTCCGAACTCTGACAGACAGACATCAACGTAGAACCTCGCAAACAAGTTCATCAGTTGGTGACACACTTCACAGTAGTGTAAAAAAAACAGATGGATAGAAAAGTAGTGCTATCAAAGTAGACGTAGTTTCGCGATACAATAAACAATCCGAAGATAATGGTTCGCGAAAATATTCAAGCTTCCGACGATGTCAAACAGTAAATGCATGTACGCCGTCGTCACCGACATCCATCCATGTTACCAAAAGTCTTCAATCATTGATTCCTATCCTCTCGGGGATCCTAGGCAAGCAGACTGAACTCTATTTCAAATCCTGCAGCAAGGATCGCTCGCCAAAACTCTGGAATCTCTAGCCATAGATGCATATGTCCCTGAGACACTTTTACAGTATCCGAGTGTGATTATTAAATTGACCCCAGCTGGTCATAGTAAGGATTCTTCAATATTCACCTTGAGAGCATTCGGAGACAATGTCTAGCTCTCATGGACTTGCTGGTGTAGATATAGCATGGAGTCGTAGAGCAGAAAGTGCGCTACTCGACAGGTTGCTAGTAAACAGAAGTCTATATGGTGTTCGACTAAATAGATCTGTAAGGACTAGGAAGGGTCGTGAGACTAGGTGATGCCTATTCATAATCTCCGCCTACGCATGCACCGACTGTAGTTTGGATGATGCAAAGAATGAATTATATGAGAAGCTGTCTACTTTGCGACAGAAACCAGAACGTTTAGATGTAATCATAATTGCATTTGACTCGAACGCTCCAGTAGGGAAACTGAGCCAATGGGAAAGGTATCTACGGGATCCGATGCCAGCAAACCGATAACGGTGGTTGTCTGTTGCAATTTTGCTTCGATAATCACTTGTTTCGAACCAGCACTAAGTTCAAGCATAATTAGTGACATTGTCTCACATGGTGTCAGCCGACGTCAAACCAACGACAGACACAGATCGATCACATTACTATAAGCCATCGTAGGAGAGGATCGGTGGAGAATTCCTGCTCTTTCTGGACTAGCAGTTTGGACTCCTATCACGCACTGAGACAGGGTTGTGTATGTCTGTGCTTTACTGGTCGCAGGAAACAAGTGATAGTGAAGCTTGTGTATGGTCTATTGAAAGATGAGAATGTCAAGTAGGTGTTTACGGAGGAGTTAGGTAAGCATTTATATGAAGATGATAACAGTTCTCACCGTGAGGAAACCTGGCGTGATATTAAGTCTGCTGTAGAAACAGCAGTAAGGACAGTTGTTAACCTACACCGGCAGGTTAGCAAACGTCATTGGATTAATGCAGGTTGATCTGAGCTGATTGATACGAGAAGACTGATTGCGGTGGGCTGTGGCCACGATGAAGAGCGAAAGCAAACAACGTAAAATAACCAAGAATCTTCACGTCGATCACGAGGGGTGGTAGGTGGGGAAAGTGTGAGAAATGAAGAGGGTATCCGGGTTGGGTAAAACTCGCCAACTATTAAAGGTTATTAAGGATACCGGGAAGAAGAAAACGATGGTTAACGAAGTCATCACTGAAGAGCATGGGACACTGATAACGTCTTTATCAAATTAGATATTCAGGCATCTTCCAGGGCCCAACGCGACTGATTTCTTGACACTTGATAGTACTTTGTTGAGGGTTTCTGCGTAGCAGTAAACTGGCCAGTTACATTTCATTTTTCAGGTGAAGGAACTGAACACAATTTTGACGGTACTCATGATCAGACATCCGTAAACGCTGGGGATATTTCATCAAATCCTTCTGCAAGTAGGGGAGCTTCTGTATGTCGTGCTGGTTCAGGAGCATCTGGGACAAGCGTAATGAGTCTGGGTCTTATGGAAGGTAAACAAAGATGCTGTTATAAGCACTTACAGTTGCTGAAGCTGCAAGAGATTAAACAGGTTAGTTTAATTTTCGTGTGACATTATTGATTTCCCAATTCTGCTAGTCAAATTTTGCAGTGTCTAAATTTCCTTATACTTTGTGTGAATTTGCCTACTTTACCTACCTTGTGATTCAAGTGGAATGTTGTTTTAGTTCTTAGTGCTTATCATCTTACCTGGCAATAATGAGAAATTCCATTGGTTTTCTTACGTTTCACTGCATAGTTCCTTAGGAATAAAATGTGCAGTTCATTCATTTTAGCAAGTCATCGGTATGTATTTTACTGCAGACCACACTACAGATGTAATCATTGCATCAATTATTATAGACTATCGAAACTGTTAAGTTTAAGACTATCCAGTGTATTTTCAAATGGACGCAGATAGATTACAATTATCACCAGCTTCCTAGCACTACACATTAACTATTAGAAATTTCTAAATCATGACATTATGTATTCGTAATAGGCTAAAATATTTACAACTAAGTAAGGTGAAATAATCATAGGGTCAGGTTTTTCTATATACCTCAGTTCAGAGTTAATGGGTGATACACAGTAGAATGAGAAGTTGGTTCCTTATTCATATGCAGAATCCAACAAACAAGTCTATTGTTTTGTTTTGCTACGACAGATAGACGAAGCAACTTTAGAACCTGAGACAGAAGTGCAACTGTTTAGGTTGATACACTTCACTGAAGCACATAAAGCAGAGGTGAATAGAAGAGGACTGTATCACTACAGCACACCATTCAAATATTGCCTCCATTTTCGAATGCGTCCAACTCTGAATATCTTTATTGTAATTTTTAGGTTGTAAATTTCGATACAGCCTCTCCGGATCGAGCTGCATTCGGTATAGTTGTGCGTTCCATTTCGGAAGTGGATGATCGTGTCCATGCTTATTGTTTGGCTGCTAGTTTCGCAGCTTCAGCTGCAGTTGTCAGTGGAAAATGCCCAGAACCTGTTGAATCCGCAGTTGCAGCTGCTACAGCCTCGGGACAAATTTCCAATTCTATCAATATGGATACTTCGTTGATAAATCTTTCTGTCTCCAATTCTAGTATTTCTCATGTGGCAATGTTACAGGCTTGCGTTGGTGAAGCTAAACGCGTTTTTCTTCACAGGTTATGTCACCATATTTGCCAAGTCTCTTGTATATCAAAGAGTCCAGAGGAAATACTTGTAGATGTGGAACCCGTAGAATTACTTGGTTTCGATTTAGAACAGGTGTTTAATGTAAAAGCTTCAGCCTTAGCATCTAAAAGGTTAGTACTTATCTAAATTTATCTTTATTTTTCATTAGGTTCTGTTCAATGCGATATTCAAAAATGTTTGCCAAACAATTCGAGTTGTTTGAAACCGTGATGATATGATTAAACAATAGGGATAAGCAACTTTGGGTCATGGGCTGGAAACCAGCTGCACCTCCTTAGGTGTAGACAGCTATGTGTGTGGCTCATTGCTTACTACATGAACGTACACAATGATGCTGAGTGAATTTCGATCTTCGATATTTTTTTTAAATCTCAATCTGAATATTCTGCTATGCTTCGATCAAACTGTTGCTACAGTCTTTTCGGTTCTCCGACAGTTTACGTTATTCGTAGTATTCACGAGAACAAATTCTTCATCTGCTATGGAAATAGTAAACTTACTAAATCACTTTATGTATACAATATAAAAACTTAAAACTGGCACTAAAGTGGGTCGTATGAAGTCTCAAGAGATGGGTTTTTTTACAGGCATATTCTCAGAAAACTTTTGATCGGTGAATCTACTTAACATGTATGTAAGATATTGTAGATTTTATTATTTTGAGTCTTCTGCACTCGTATTCCATCGGTGAAAAAGTTAAATTAATCATTGTACGTAATATTCTCACCTACAGTTAAACTTGGAATATCCGTAATGCATTGTTTATTTGACATAGCACGCAGTGATGTAGTTTTATTAGGTGTTAGTTGGAGACAATCGACAGGAAGCCGTGGACCTAGCTTGTTGGCACTCGTCAGCAAGGCATGATACAGGATTATTAAGTGAATGTTTTGGATCCAGGGTAAACAATAGTAGTTTTACTTTGAGATTAGTTTATTTCTACCTGCTAGATCAAGTACACATGACAGCAGAATTATATTCTGCCACATTGCCAAAGTTCTATTCGTATATAAACCTCCAATTCTGATTGATAAATATCCAAAAATATCCTTTTGTTCTGAAATCAAATACGGGACAATTATATGATGGATGGATTAATGAACAAACCAATCTTTATAGTTGCAGGCACAAAGCACTTAGTCTGTTGAAGGTGGAATCATGGTTCTTAGAACACTTGTAATTTTCTTCCCCTTAAGGCAGCAATCGTATTAAGCTCCTATGCTTCGAGAGTCTGTTTAAATGACTTTCTATGTCTTGTGATTATCCAGCAGACTATGGGGATTGATACTGATCATCAGTATCGCTGAGTTTAAAACAAATCTAACAATTCTTTTAAAATTTTTCCAAGACATCTAGAATAAAGCCATGTTAAGTGAGAACATTGAAGCAACACTTTCCTAGATGCATATCATTATTATTTATTATTTGTCCCTTGGATTCCTAGTGAAACATAGGGCTTCAGTAGTACGTCACCATTTCACTGTTCTCTGTAGCCTTTTTAACCTGGCTCCACGACTGCCCAGAAGGTTTTATTTCTTCTTCACACGATCTCCTCCATGTCACCCTCGGACGCCCAACTCCTCGTTTCCCTTTGATTTACACTTGAGGGCCTGGCGCATGATGTCTCCGAATTGTCTTCTCAGTGTATACCCAATCCATCTCCAATTTCTCCGGCATATCTGTTGGGCGATAGGTTCTAGGTTGGTTCGTTGCCCGACCAGAGTTTGTTGTTGCTTATTATTATTGTTCTTGCCATCTGATCTTCAGTATCGAGTGATCGTAGGTGGCAACTGCTGATGAATGTCTGTAGTTTAATGAAAATGCTTTTCGTAACGCACCAAGTTTCTGAACCATAGAGAAGCACTGACTTGACATTGATATTGAAAATCCGGATCTTGTTCTTTATGCTGAAGTGATTGGAGTAGATCTCTATACTGATTTTAGATTATTGAAAGCCTGTCTTGCTTTTCCGATCCTGGCTTTGACGTCCTCATCTGTGCCGCCTGTATTTGAAATGATGCCGCCTAGGTAGGTGAAAGAGACTACTTCCTGTAGGTTTCTCCCGTTAATGGTGATTGGTGCTTGTTGTTGTTGTTAGCTGGGTATCTTCATCACCTCTGTCTTCTCTACGTTCACTTGAAGTCCCGTCTTCACTACTTCGCCTCTTCTGTCAACTTGTTGGTTTTCGCCTGTAGATCGAGTTTGTGCGACATTAGACATAAGTCGTCGTCGGCGAAACTCAAATCTTCTAGGATTTTTCATCGGTCACCTGCGTTGATCTCTTCACAGATAGTAAGCTGGTCATTTGATATAGTGTTGTCAGGTCTCTCCTACCAGCAGCCCGTTCTGCTTCACTTGCAAGTGTGTCTTTGAAGTGTCTTTTGGTTTTCCTTGCACTCTTTACTTCTTTGTCCAGTGTGTTATATGTCCAGTGTTTTGTATATTGTATTCACTTCCTCCTTTCGTTGTTCATCCCTGCACTGCACTCCACTGGTGCGTCTTCTTCACCATCTTCCTCTCCCTCCTCTATAAGTTTCTATTTGTCCGATGAGATCCATTCCTTGTCTTGCCTCTTCTTCATAACTAACACAGTTATACAGGCTTTCTTCCACGTCTCTTTCACCGAGCTCTAGTGTTATTCCACGTAGGTTTTTTCATGGATGTTGCCTAATATCTCCCATTTTGTCTTGATGGCAGACACGAAGATGTCTTTTGTAGTTTCGTCCTTCAGTTGAGTTGAGTTAAGTTTCTGTTCTGGGTGTTGAACTTGAACTGTGGCCTATCATCACCATCTTCTTTGAAGGCTTCCGACTTGATTTTGAAGGTATGTTCCTTACACTACATGTGCTCCCCTTCTTGATGTGATCTTGTGTCCAGTGAGGTGTGTCTCCACTTTCTTCACATTGAGATGAAGTCGATTTGATTTTTAGTGTAGTGTGTTCTGGTGTCTGGTGTTATGCATGTGGCTTTGTGAGTATCGCTGTGTTTGTACACACTGGCTCCGATCACCAAATCGTTGAATGTGCAGAAGTCTGCAAACAGTTCTCCATTGTCGTTCATTTCACCTAGTTAGTGATTCTCTACCCATGATTGGTTGTCTTCGTGTGTTGTCCTGTCCACTCCGAGTTTGGCATTCATTCATGTCACTGCACCCATTAGAATTTTGATTTCGCCAACTGGAGTCTTGTTTAGTACAGTACTGATTGGAGTTGTTTGTAGAGTTCCTCCTTCTTCTCTTGATCTGCATTATTTGTAGGTGCGTAGCGTGGCGTGGCGTAGCATTGTATGACTGTGACTTTCCTTCTTTTTGATTTGAATCTTGCTGTGATGATCCTGATCGTGGAGGAGGAGATTGGTTCCCATTGCATGAGAGAGAGCCTTTGATGCTGTTGGGGGCATGATGATGTCCAGTCTGTAACTCAGTGTGCTCGTGGTTGTCGTCTGGATGATAATATTGGAGTAGATAATTGACTCGTGTGCAGTTGACAGTTTGGAGAGTCGACTTCCATTGTGTCTGCTTTTGCAGATTTGTATCACTTTTATGGTGTATCTTCTCATTTATTTTGCAATCTGGGCAGCCTTGCCAGCCGGTCGGTCGGTCGGTCGGTCGGCCAGCCAGCTAGCCATCTTCAAACATTGTGCTAACATTCCATGTCCCTATGTTTACTTTTGCTTTCATCGAGAGAAGAGAAGACTTATCGTTGAATTAGCTTTGTGAAGGTTTCCACGAACCGGCGTCGTTCTGTCTCCCTGATTTCTGCTAGGAATAAGTTTGTTTTTATTTTTGTATTTTGTTTGTGCTTTGGAGTTTGTTTAGGGATTCGATCGGTTTTGCAGGGTATGATTGCTAGCTCGATGCACAACTTCCCCTCTGTATCCCTGCTTGGGACCGGCTGGTAACTATTTAACTAGGCGATTTTGTGAGCCTTTTAGTCATTAATAACGACAATGATGGTTCAGGTATACTAATTATACTTATGCTGCGTTGGAGTGTAACTATCATTACCCTTTTATCTTTACCAGCTAATAAATTCCGATCAGTTGCACTTCGTAAAGCATATTTGTTACACTCTTTAGTCGAGGATATCAATAATGCCATTCCACTTCCCTTTGTTTACATGCGCTGGGTTAGATAAACTTAGAAAATTTGGGAAATGATTAGAAGGTCACGAAGAAGTAAGAAAGTGGTATAATCTAGGAGAGGCTTGAAGATTTCTGAAGGTAGGTTGAATGGTTTAATTGAGAAAACTTAGAAAGGCATTCATGATTTCCCGGAATCTTAGGAATAATGCGCTAAAGTCGTTTTACTTCCTAACAATTTCTTTAATGATTTTGGATTTCGCTTCTCTGAAGCTAACCTATTCTCCCCAAAAGTGCTTACATTGGAAAAACCTGTGGATCTGGATCACTTTGATGGCTAACAAGTGACTAGACAGGCGAAAAATACTCTAAGCACGAGATGATATTTCCAAATCAGTTAAACGTGATATGTTGTTCACTATATAAAACTACTTTATATTTAATCAAAGCAAAGACTGTGAGGAACATGTTTACAGTATTCAAGTAGAACACAAACGAATAATCATATTCGTGGCTATTTGCTAACTAGATTTACCGTTTTCTGATAACGTATTGGGTTTCTGTATAGACTACAGCTCACTACAATCTGAAACTCAAATCGACCTTCCCCCACATACCTGCCGCTCGGCCTTGACTGTCGATACATATCATTGGTTTAACAGTAAATTTTGTATGCACATTTTTCTTCAGAATAACGCGACAACTAACCCGTAGCATATCTATAAAAACGCCTCGTCGCCTGGCTGCTTCTAGATATCAGTTTGGAATACAACCTGCACAAGCTTTGAGCACTCCAATGTCTCATAGATTACCTGTTACCAATGGCGTGGATGAAAATCAAATAACAGACATGTATATTATGCCAAGTCCAAGACGTTCAATGCTTGGATCGTTTCTGGGAGTAAGTTGAATGCGTAATTATTTCATAACAATGCTATCTTATAATATGCAGCTAGATAGTTATCTTGAGACTGATAATCAGATAACATTGATGTAACGATGGTGTACCATCTGAAGATTTGAATATTTTTACTTAAACTTTAGATCTAAAGAGATGAGTATATATTTTAGTCAAGATTCCCGTCTTGGTATAGGTAGTTATCCCATGGTTGAATGGAGGTATTTTTTTTGTAAATAACCGTAAACTCGGAACCCATATCTTTTTATTACTGTTGTACGAGGTCGTACACCGACCCCCATGCTATTCAGGATAAAGTAACAGTAGATATTTCAATCATGACTCTACCCTTCCAATTATGCCGTGGCATCTTTCGAATACTTAATCGTAAATGACAGATGCTGAAGTAAGGCACTCAGTAATCGTTGTATTTATTATGTTACTGAACTTCTAAAATGCGCTGGTCACATACGTTTTGGCAACTAACTTACCTAACCTACTGCTGCTTGGTCTGCGTTTGCTACTACCACTACCATTGATGACGTGATACAAGGCAGACGGTAATTGGTGTCAAGCAGTTTATTTTATTCAAATCTGAAAAGAAATATTTCTTCGCTGATACATGCCTTGTTCTTGTTAAATTCACAATCATTTGAACCCACAGTTCAACCACCAGTTCATTGTTTCATTTTTGATAAAGATTGCTGTACTATTCATTGGTTCAACAATAGACAAATCAATTTAAAATTTCCCACTGAAGTTTATTCGTTCAAGTTTCCACGCTGCAACATCACTAGGCGTAAAAAGTCTGCACAATAATAAAAATCTAAATACTTCCTAATTTTGATTGATTTGAAACCATATCTCCCGGAGTCCCAGGCTGTTGTCTTTGTCTCCATATGAACTAAAGGACTAGGTTATCATCACTGTGGCTCATTGGTTTAGGAAGCTGACTTTCAACCAATAGGTCACGGACTTGAGCACCGCTTCATTTACCGAGGTTTGGGCATTCAGTATCACTAGCCTTCACACAGTTTGTGTGGTTCACTGTCTACTGTACGAAGGGGCATACGGTTGCTGAATGCATCTCGATCTCGCGGTGGGTAGTTGTTTGTGTATGCCGTTCGTCGTTGAATCGATCACTCACCTTTGCTGTGTAACTCAATTATTTTTAAGCTCAAGTTTAGCAGATTCACGCAGGAATTAATACTTGTTTATTTTATATGTTCGCCTGCAGACAATAAAAAACTATTCTGCATCTACTTAAGTAAAGCATCTTCAGCGGAAAAATTCAATCCGTCAGTTGGTAAATTTATATCTCTTATTCCATCCAAATATGAAGTCGATAGCTTCATGTTAAAAACGGTTTTGTTTTGCTCGAGCAGTATTGTTTGTGATACTGTTTTAGACATACGTAGTATTGGTCAGAATACAAAGACGATTTTGTAATCCTATAGATGGTTTCTAACCACTTCTTCGGTCTTCTTTTCAGGGACTTCTTGTATTTTTTTTGTTTTTGGTAATGAATTTAATTTTAAACAATTGGATATACAACTCATGCGTTATTGCTGATATAGTTCTGTACTAAGGTGAATTGAATTATTCTTTTTTAAAGTTTAGAAGTCTGTAAGATGTAAACCTTATTTATTGTGTTCTAATAAGAATTTGAAGACATACATCCTACAATGCATTTCCAATTTGAGTCACTAACTGCTCTTCTAATTCATCCTGTTCGTAAATGTCAGGAAATGATAAATGTTAATTATAATGCATTATTTATACTAATGTGGTTGAAAATTACGAAGAATAGTGTCATATATCCTTCGCTTTGCGACTATGCCTGTCATTGGGATTACTATGGTTAACTCAATAGTCTGTATGTTGATTTAATTAATGTAATGTCTCTGATATGATTAGCTAAATTCTGTTCAACACAGTTCTATTTCACTTATTTTTTTAGTCATCCTGTACCTCTTTGAGCAAGTTTCTAAACACAGCGTTGCGAGCTAACAATAATCTCAGTATCAGTAACAATAATGATCATAAGAATTCCGTTCTAAGTCGTTCTATGCATCCACCTAATCGTTTTGCTATGACACCCAAATCAATCAGGCGTCTTTTACCGCAATCCTCAAGACAAAATCCATTTGATGATCTTGAGTTAGATGATGATGAAGATGAAATTCCGTTCTCTCAAATCGGAAGTTCTATGCTGAGTTTAACAAGTTTAGATAGCCTTTCCACCTTGGATAATCCTCTTCATCATGTCGATGTAATTCCTAATCGCAACAATCAAAATCTCAAATATCGAGCCGGTAGCGCAATATGGGAATCAGTCAGTCATCTTGGATTTAACACATCAGATGACGTTCGTTGTTCGTATAGATCACCCTCTGGGTCATTTCTTGGCGGCTTAGGTGAAACATGTTCAAGAAAATATGGTAAGAAGCAGAAAAAGCCAAAACTTCGCGCTGTAAGTCAACTGTTCCAACGATCTTCACTTGTAACTAAAACGAAAGAATCACGGAAAATGAGTACCAGCAAAAATAACAGTGGAACAAGTTCTCAAACGTCTTTGCCGAATTCTCGTCGGGATAGTCTACTACGTGGTCTATTTTTCCGGAAAAACTGACGTACTAGGTAAAATTATCCTTGCTTTGTTTTTATTATCACTGTTCGGATAAACTTATATGCTTCCAAGAACTAAATCCGAAATACAAGGGATATTTTGATTCTGTTTGGTATTCTCTTCATTATTTGCACCTTATTAGCTCTGTTATTTAGAAGTTTTTGATCAATTGGTAAAATTCTATCCTTGATGACCTTTTTACTTTGGACATGAATTTTGATATTCATAAAACAATATCAAGGGTGTAATAACTGTAGCGAAAGCCATATATACAGGTTAGGACTACCTAAAACCGATTTCCGTTTTCACAATGTATAGGGAATAAATTGAGTTCAGTCATCGTAACCCATAATGAACATAACTTGTTATATTCATACGTTCCTTGGAAATATCAGGACGTTTGCATTTCTTTTTCGCCAGTTAAATGTGAGCTAGTTCTTGGAAAATGTGTATATAAATGCATTTGAAAAATAAGACAGACAGGAAAAATCAACGTAGAACCTCATACAGAACTTGATCGGTCCAATTTGTCACTCTTCACAGCAGCGTGCATAAAACAGACACGTGGAGAAAGAGTAAACAGATGCGCATAACAGAGGAAGGAAGCTGGAAATAAACTTTCGGACCTAAAAGTCATCTAAACAGAGATACATCAGTGCAATTACGACCGGTTTTCAGCCACCAAGGGTCCCCACCATTGACTCGTTTTGTCTCGAGGACCCAAACCAGACATGCTACAACTTCCTACATGACTCATACTAACACTCAGGAACTTCATAGTTTGGTGCCAGGTTATAGTCTGGTTATTGCACATCGAGGTGATTGGTGGCTCAACAAGTGTAATGAATATTCAACCCACCTCAGTCAGTGGAAATTCACAACCCCATTCGCGGAGATCTATCATAGTTCATCGCGACACTGAACCGCCTAGTATTTAGGCCACAATGCAAAATGATCAGTAGAATTCTATCAACACTCGGGATTAGACGATAAGAAGTTGGTTACCCTTCAGTAACCGATCAATGTATCAAATCTAGCCCTACAGGTCTGTCGTCGACCGAATAACTCAGTAGTAACGTCTCTAACTGCTGCACCTGGTGACGGGTTCGAATCTCTATTGAGACATCAGTTCCGTAGGTGTAGCAGATACGCCTTGTTGACGAGTGCCAATAAGCATGAAACCCAGGTCTAGGGTTTCCTGCCTATCGCTTCTATCCAACCGGTATCTATTGATCTGCTTCAGTGCCCTCCGCTCAACCTCGACATAGTTCATACAGTGATTCAACTACACGCAACCAATGCTATGAAGTATGTGATATAAAAACCTGTAATCTGATATCTTTCGCAGGACATGTCTCAGTCGTATGGTAGGACACAACAAATTAGCGCTAGACATGACTGTCTCTCCTAATGCTCAAAGTTAGTGGTAGCCAGGACCAAGTTGTCGACAGTCATCACTGTCGGTTCGTTGACATGGCATACAGCAGATACCTTTCTGACTAGCTAAGCTTCCCTGCTTGAACATTGAAGTATCCTTTTATCATGACTATATGTAAACTTTTTGCACTGTGCAGCGAAATCGGCAACTTTTAATAGAACTCAACTTACGCATCGTGCAAACTGCAGTCTGCGGGTGAGTAGGCGGAAATCGTGACTAAGCATTAACAGTCTTTCTTGGCATATTATTCATTAGGGATCCATTCTATCGAATAATACATGCAAGTCTTTTGACTTTTATCCATCCAAAAGGTGCACTTTCCACTCGTATAGCTACCCATTGTATTTCTGTCAGGATTAAAGTGAATTTTGCAGACTTTCCACGTTTGGTAGATGATGTCAAATGTATTACAGCTCTTTGGTCCTGTACATGTGTTGTGGAAGTGCACCATACATGCATTCAGCAAGGTTACAGAATTCGGTAAGGTGGTATATTTTGTCCGATTCGGTATATGGTTCGGAAGTTTAAGGCTTTACATCCAATCAGCGGATGGATTAAGGAGTCTAGAAATGGCGTTTAGCTGGCTTGAGTCGCTATCAATGATCGCGTGTCAGAGGTCGAGGAAGTTTTATGAGGCTTACTGCTTATCTCAAAAAGCAAAGGGAACTTTATGAAATAAGTTATCGTTTACTATATTTTGTATACCACTGGGAGCATTCTGGTAGCTGGTATTCCCTGACTCTCCGTGCGGAATTTGTTACCACAGTGTGCCTTGTTAAACAATAGGAAGTCTGGCCAACGCTGATGAGTCGGTGACCGATGAAATCGCGGCACGGATGCATTGGCTCGATAGGCTTCCATTAATCTACGTCATGTAGACTGCAATAAAATATTGCTTCTTATGAACTGAGTGTAATTCGCTGTGTTCTACCGTATGGTTATAAAACATGAGTATTAAGAATTGAGAATATGAGAAGCCTTTTTGTATTCGATCACTGTTACCTTCGTAGCATAGCCTATGAATCTTAGTCTTAGTCAGAAACGAAGAAGTTAGGTGCAGAGTTTTAGGGAGTAAAGAAAATTCAGTCTATATGGTCGGTAACTTATACCGACTAAGGTTACTTCGATGTGTTGGACATGCCTAGTGACCCTTTACCCCATGTCACAACAAAGGTGAAGTAGATTCAGGCTGGTTAAAGGTGGTCATACTACAACATGGGATCAGTTCATGAAGTCCTTGACTGTTGGACTGATCTATGTAGAGAAATGTAGACTTCCGGTTGGGTTATCTGTGACGTCCGAAATCGGTGTCTGGAAGCATTAGCTGATATGGCCCAGTATAGACTGCGTTGACGCAGATGAACCCGCACTTTATTTTCTTACCGAATTTCGTTATAGTCTCGTTTCTCCTTGTCCTTTTTAGTCGACGTATAGCTGCTACCTTTAAGTGGTGGTCGGGCTTGTATATCACGAGCTACTCTGGTGGAAGGTTTGTCCCTCAAGTTCTACCATGCGATACGGATCTATTGAATAGTGATTCGGCAAAAAGCAGTTGCCCCTGACATGTTCTTAAACAATGTGATGATGCATTATGCTGGCTTAGATCAGCCATCGGCGGTTAGTGGTGTAATCCAAAATCGCAGTACGTATGTCCAACTACATCTCCCATACTACAGAGCACTTGTCATCAAAAAGGCCTCACTGAACGACCTCAAGCAGATGTTCCTTGGGCTCTGTCATCAAACAAATATTATTCTCTTTCGGGTATCTTTAGAAGAAATAGCCTTACACGAAGTGAGCAACCAGAAAGTATCAACTGCTTGAACGCTTCCAGTTGTATACAAGACCCAACCACACAACTAATCCTCCTCAATTCTGTCTCCTCGTTTGCCTTCACCTTCTGATACTAATATTAAACCTCTTCATCCATCCATCCAGATCAACCTAGCACCAGGCAGTACTGCGTAACGGTACGAGTTGACACACCTCATATCAGTACATCAAGTAAAAAGGCAGTGAGGCGCAAGATGAAGATAAGAATGCAGTCAAAAGAAATATAGAGCACGAGAAGAAAAGCGGAATGACCAAAATGGTGGGATTCGGCACAGCTTCGTTAAAATGAGGATAATGTGTGTACACGTCTGCGCGACTGACGTCGGTTCTGAGCCATGCCATCACCTAGAGTCTTCAACCACTGGTTCCTCTTGTCCCACCGACCCCAACCACCTAGTCTGCATCGTCCCACATGGCTCAAACCAACAGTCAGAGACTTCATACATTGATGCCATATTTTAGTCTGGTCACCTCGGACCTTTTCCAGCCTGAACCTACTTCAGCCAACATTGTGTGACGAGGTAGACGGCGACTAGGCATACGTAGTACGTGTCGCAACCATCTCAATCGATGAAGGTTCATAACCTCGTCTACTGACTTACCTCTACTCCCGACTTCTGCGTTGCTCGCGTGGTGACACCACGGAATGCGACCTATACTACGAAGGCAACGGTGGTCAAACACCTGAAGCCAGCCTTCTCATGTGTTCCACCTTGAATGGCCATGTTTCACAGCCATACAGTAGAACAGAGTGGACTGCTGTGCAGTACACGCGACTCTTAGTAGACAATCGGATATCACGGCGGCGCCATAGGTGGCGTAAGTTGGCGAAAACCATTCGAGCCTTTTGTATGCGTGCAGAGATTTCATCGGCCACCGAGGCACTAGGGCAGGGCTGATCCTACTTCCCAGGTGGTCAACACACTCAACCATTACACTCTCTATTGTTAGCCGTGGCACCGTTGATGACCAATCCTGGAGCAGCAATTTGCATTTGGGTGGTGAGAAACGCATTCCAAACATTCTCAAATTGCTACTCAAAGTGTTCAGAAGACTCTGCATCTTGTCAGCGTGTTCGCCTAACAGGACAATGTCATCTGCATATTCTAGGTCTAACGAAAATTCCCACCGATTAGTTCAACGTCTGTGTAATCAGGCGACGAGAGGGAAACCTCCATAAGAATATCTATGATGAAATTGAATAAGAATGGAGAGAGTGGGGCACCCTTGACGGACACCACTCGATGAGTACAGCTCACCTGACATTTCATCATAGACTCTAACATGTCCACATGTGTTCGAGTAGAGAGCTTTCAATAAGGTGATGCACTTACCCGGCACGCCTTTCAGTGAGACATTGCCATAAGAATTCTTGATCAACGGAGTTGAATGCCGCCTTCAAGTCGAGAAATACAGGTAGTGCCGGGCGTCTGTAAGTGTACCTATGTTCCAGGACCTGGCGCGGTGTGAATATTTGGTGGCTACACCCGTGGCCAGGTATAAAGCCTGCTTGTTTTTCTCGGGTTTGTTGCTCCCTAGCTCCACTCGGGCATCGAAGAATTATAGAACCTAGAATCTTAGGCACTATGTTCGTCAGGCTGATTCCTCTGTGGTTATCACAAGAGGACTTCTCGCCTTTCTTGAAGACTGGGATGATGAGTGACTTAGACCAGTCATAGGGGATCGTATTTGATTCCCATATACTGGTTAACACTTCCGTTAACCTGACTATAAGCACCTAGACACCGTTCTTGTATACCTCAGCAGGTAGTCCGTTTGGTCCTGCTGCCCTCCCTCGTTTCAGGTTACCTACCGCTTTCTCAACTTGTCCTAGTGTTGGTAGGCCTATCTTTATGTCCGATTCAGGATCCGACTGGATAGCGGGGAACGCAATGGTGTCCGGAGGCTAGTCAAGCTG